AAAATGGACTTCCCCATACTGTTTGGTCACTAACAAACATAGCTCTCTATGGTATTATAGAAGGTGAGCTATGGACTCAGTTATAGCTGAGCTCTTCTACCAGTTAACATTGAGTGGCCTGGTGTGGCGCTGCAGGTTAATCCGCTGGGCTGCAAGGTGGGTTTGAACTGCAAGGTTAGGGGTTCAAACTCACCAGACACTCCTTGGAAACCCTAACAGGGTCACTATGAATGGGACTGATTTGAAGGCACTTAACAACAACAACAACCAACTACTAGCTATGCCACCTTGGGGTGCTTACATGGTGCCTTCATTTTCTTATTTGTAAAAGGAAAAGAATAAAAATGCCTACCTCATGAGCTTGTGGTAAGGGGTGAATGCCATAAATGATGTAAAGCACATACAACAGGATTTGGTAGGCAGTTATACTGAATGTACAGTATAACCTTTAAACAGTGCCTTCACAGAGTAGGTGCTCAGTAAACAGTGTACAATGGATAAAGCAAGGGAACAGAAGCATTTGTTCTGAAAAAGGAACTAGGCTATGTTTCATGCATGCACAAAACCTTAGTCACTGCCTGTGTGACAGCAGCTTTTAATTTATGGCCCTCTGGGCTTAGTCAAGAGTTTGATTTAGCTCAGGGTTCTGACATCTCCCCACAGTTCCCCACTTGACTTCTAGATCCATGGTCGTCTCAAGGAGGCAGACGTGACTGAGGCATTTCATTTACCATTCTATCATCTGCCTTGACATGCCAAGTCCTTACAGTTTTGGAAATAGAGTTCTTTCAAGGATGTAAAGATATTTGAAAAATCTAGGGAATAGTAAACCTTTTCTTATTTTTTCTTCTGATAATCTGATGGGCCTGCTCCCATTTCTAAATATTCTGGCTCTCAGAGGATCTGTAACTCAAATGCAGAACAGTTGAGTCTTGTTGTGGCTTGAAAAAATGCCATGAACTTTGCTTCCACATGGAATGTAATTGCTCTTGAAAATGCATTTATTGCAACTTCAAGAGTGTCCTCAGTGCCACTGAGCTGGACTACAGAAACAGCGGGGCGGGGTCTGCTGTACTGTGCTCAATAACAACCACAAAATAATTCTTTTGGAAAAGGCATGAGCTGTGCATAGCTTTCATGGGTCTCCAATTAATTGGCCTTATGAAGTACTCCTTCCTCATGTGTTAAGATGTTACATCAATGACAAAAGCAGGTGGCAATAGAAACAAAAAAACAGTGTAGCTCTACAATACACCTGAGAGGCAGTATGAAGGAGGGTTGCATCCCTAAGTGTATCACAAGATATGTTACTGTGGACAACTTGCTAACCCCAATTTCTGTTTCCTTGCTCACCCTAATAAGGTCATAATTGTACCAAGGACCTCCTGGCTGCTGTGCAGGCTCAGTGAGGCAGTGCACAAGGCTGCAAGTGCTGTGTCTAACCAAACTCACTATGGTCCAGTCGATGATGATGACTCAGTGTGACCTTACAGGACACAGCAGAACTGCTCCATGGGGTTCTGAACCCTGTAAACCTTCACAGAAGCAGGCAGCCTTATCTTTCTTCTGCAGAATGGGTGGGGGCCTTAACCCAGTGACCTTTTGGTCAGTAATGAAATGCTTCATAACCCTTATGCCACCAGGGCCCACCTGCCCAGTGTATACCCTTAGTAAGTAAGTGTCATCGAGTTCGTTCTTATAGACACCCTGTCTAAGAGGAGCGGCTGGTGGGTTTGAACTACCGGACCTTTTGGTTAGTAGCCCAATGCTTATCCTACAGCGCCACACCAGGACTAGCCTTGATGATTACCATTTGTGGGTCTACGTTCCCCTGTAAATCTCTCTCCCTTTTATAGAGAATACAGCAGAGCACTTCTGTAATGCCACACCTCATTCATAGCAATGTAAGCATCTCTAAGTCCAGTGCTTACCTTCCCAAAGCAACTGTTACATCTTTCTCTGAGACCTGTAATCCAGCAATGCTTCCCTTAGTTAGTTCTGTCAGCTCCTTCATGCTGCTGTCTGCCTTCTGCAGGTTGAAGTAGGCCTCTCTGCCAGTGAATTGGTCAAGGAAAATGCCAACCCCACCCACCAAGCCCCACAGCCAACAGAAGGGTCCCACAGGAAAATGGAGCACTATTTGAAAATGGGCTCTTAATGAGGGCCTCCAATCTCCAGCATCCGCTGTTACAAAAGGAAGAACTCTGTAAAAGTAGCCAGGCATTGGGGTCCTGTGGTGGCTGCCTGAGTCCAGGGCTGGGGTGGGTGACAGACCGCTGGAGGAATGATCAGAAATGGTAAATGACACTAGATTTCCTAAAGCAGCATCTTCTGATGACTGACAACAGTTACTCCTTTCTCCCAAGTTGGTTCCTATGAATACAAAAAGAGAAGAACCAATTCTGCTGAAAGGGACTTTCTAGGCCCTTTTGAAAGAAAATCCCCTAGTTTCCAAATATCTCTAGTTCCCTTTTTCACAGTAGCCCCCTGCTGAGGGGCTAACAGCAGACAGCCAGTCACAGCTCAGATTTTACAAGCTGATCATTAGTGGGGGAACAGGGAGGGGGGCAGGATGTGTAGGGATGAGAAACAGGGGACAGGAAGGCTCAAAGAGTGCTCAGAGTGATCCCTGCAACATGAAATGCCCTTGTTGGTGGTGTTGTGTGCTGTTGAGTTAATTCTGACTCGTTGTTAGGTACCATCAAGTCGGTACTGACTCATAGCGACCCTATGCACAACAGAACGAAACACTGCCCGATCCTGGGCCAACCTCACAATTGTTGTCACGCTTGAGCCCATTGATGCTGCCAATTTGCCAATCCATCTCATTGGGGGGTCTTCCTCTTTTTCTCTGACCCTCCACCTTACCAAACATGATATCCCTCTCCAGTGACTGGTCCCTCCTGACAATATGTCTGAAGTATGAGAGACAAAGTTTGTCCATCCTGGCCTCCAAGGAGCACTCTGGGTGCACTTCTTCCAAAACAGATCTGTTGGTTCTTTTGACAGCCCATGGTACTTTCAATATTCTCCAACACCATAACTCAAAAGCATCAATTCTTAAATTGTCTTCCTTATTGACTTATCTTCCTTATCTGACTCATAGTGGCCTTATAAGAAGGGTTTCCAACACTGTAAATCTTTACTGAAGCAGAAAGTTTCATTTTCTCCTGCAGCTGGTGAATTTGACCTGCTGACCTTGAACTTAGCAGCCCAGCAACCCAGGAGGCCACCAGGGTTTCTTTAAATGGCCTTACCAGTTTTCAAGTGGAGATGGCCCCCTAAGGCTGCCACCAGTCTTTGGAGGAGAGGCAAATTTAACAGTGCTCTTCAAGGGATAAGGAGAACTACTTTTATTTTGCTTGGCCTCCAGCCTCATGAGGGAATTCTGGTAGCATACTGTTTATGAGTTATTATGAACCTCAAGGTCAGCAGTTCAAAACTACCTGCCGTTCTGTAGAAAAAAGATAAGCTTTCTTCTCCCATAAAGATTTACAGCCTCAGAAACCCTATGCGGGACCAAAATGAGTCAAAACTGCCTCCACCATAAACCACCACCACCACTACCATCAGTTTCATGAGCAGTATTGTCAACAGCATTTCAGACAGACAGCATTATCATTACAATCACTTCAGGAGCTTTAAAGACTCAATGAGTACACACACCCTGATTCTATTCACGCAGAATCTCTGGGGTGGGGCCCAGTAATTGTTACAGTTCCCCACAGGATTATAGTTTTCAACCTTTAACAATGGTTTCCAAATAGCGGTGCACTGACTAACACGGGGCTTCAAATGGTGCTTTGAACCCATTTCCTCCCTTAATGCGCTACCACTAACCCTAGTCCTCATTCATCTCAAACCTGCCCCCACATCATTGCTAGTAGTGATTTTCTTGGGTGCCCAGTGAAGGGTAGAACAGACTTAGAAAACTTTCAACTGGCCAATTGGAGCTAGAGATGTGTCCCCAGGGTGACGCCTCCACTCTCAGCAGCTCTGAGAGCACACAGGACCCAGGTGTGTGGAGGGCTTGAGTCTTGGAGCAGAGTGTCAGTCAGGTTTTGGGTTTACTCACCCTTGTGTGGCCACAATGACCTAACCCCATAGGGCAGAGAAGGATATTGGTTCTGCAGGAGCCAGGCCACTCCCAGAGTGTAGTAGAGCATGACCAGAGTTTCCACAATTTCATTTTTCTCCTTGTTTGAGGTCGTGTTCACCTTCCAGGTCACCAGCGTGCTCCTGGCTGACTCAGCGTGTTTCTTGGCCTGAACTGGGAGGCCTGGGGAAGTTTCAGGGTGGGGGCAAGAAACAAAGATTAGAAAGATGTGATTCCAAGAAAGATACTCTTAGGAGGCAATAAGCTAGGATGTGTGATTATAGGGTCTGTGGGAATGGCTCCCAAAGCTGGCTCAGCATTGGAATTCTCAGGAGAGCTTGTTAAGATTATAGATTCCTCAGGCCTTCTGAGTTGGAATCTCACGATCAGTGGTGGGGAATGTCCAGCCCACGGGTTGTAGAAGACCTGTGAAATCATTTGGTCTGGCCTTGCCAAGGTAACCACATTTCTAGTCATCACATTGTTGTTGTTGTTGTTAAGTGCTGTCGAGTCGGTTCTGACCCACAGTGACCCTGTATAGGGTTTCCAAGAAGCGACTGATGAGTTTGAACTGCCAACCTTGAAGTTCAAACCAACTTTGCAGTCCAGCACATTAACCCACAGTGCCACACAGGGACTCCAAGTCTTTATATTAGGGGTGAGTTAATTAAGTGTTTGACCAAATATGTTGTTATTGTTAAGTGCCATTGAGTCAATTCTGACTCATAGCAACCCTGTATAGGGTTTCCGAGGAGCGACTGGTGAGTTCGAACCACCGACCTTCCGGTTCAAACTGGCCTTGTAGTCCAGTGCTTATCCCGTGATGCCACACTAGGACCAAATACTGCAGGAAAATTTTTAAGTTAATAATTTTGTATGGCCTGCAAATGATGTTATAAATTTTGGCAGAAAAAAGGTTCCCTGCCCCTGCTCTAGAGGAATGAGACCTGGAAGTTATATTTTTAACTAACTCCACAAGTGACTCTTAGGCGGCCATCCCTACATTAGCCAGTGGACTTCCGTGTGGAAACCACTGATAGAGACAGAAAGGGAAGTGGAGTGTCCCCTTCCCAGTTGTGATGCCAATGCCGTGGGACCTTTCCAATTCACAAAGCCGCTTCCGTGCCGCAAATGTACAATGGCAACAAGAATCACAAACACCCAGGACAGTGCAGGAAATAATGAGATTGTACTGTAGAGTGTTGTGCTTTAAAAGTCCTGGGAAAGTTGGTCTATAAATACAAGAGCTTATGAATGCAATTACTTCCATGTGGAAAGTTTTCCAATCCAAGATGAAGCCAGTGATACTAATTGGTCACATTCACATAAAAAGAATCCTGTTTCTAAATGCAATGAGGCCCCTCACTATGAAGGCAGAGGAAATGCCAAACCTCAGTTAGAGAAAACTAGTGTGTCCCCTGCTGGCCTTGTTTTCTAACTAAAGGATGTATTCCTGGGCACTTAGTGGAGCTGTTATTTGCCCAGTTAATAGAGGGAGACCTCGGAGTACTTCCTCAACCTTCAGCCTCACTGGTGTCTAGTGAGCCCTGATGGGGAAGGGGAAGCCTTGTGGAAAGAAAAAGCCTTTCAGAGGTTGCATCTCAGGAGTTAACCTCCTCCTTCCTGAAAACGGCACTGGCTGGTGTACACTTTCAGCCTTTTCTCTACAGGTACACAGGTTGACAAACAGACCCACTGCTGCCAAGTAGACCCAGTGTGCCCCTGTCCTGATGCCATATCCCTCCCTTCACACCCCCAGCCCCGTGTCCTACTCAGCTTGCACCGCCTTTGGTCCTAGGGACTTGGCTTTGCATCCTGGGTGCAGACAAGAAGCAATGTGGCTCACTTGGAGGTACTCTCGTCTTTTGATGCCTGAAGCCCTCATATGTTGCAAATATGTACCAGCTGGAAATTCTCCAGTAACTTGGCTCTCCTTTATAAAATTAAAAACAACACTAACAACAACAACAACAACAAATCCATTGCCACTGAGTTGACTGTAACTCATGGTGACCCCATATGTGACAGGCTGGAATGGAGCTCCACAGCATGTTTTTGGTTGTAAATGTTACGGGAACAGGCCTTTCTCCCACCGCATCAATGAGGGATTAAAGCCCCGAACTTTCCATTAGCAGCCAAGTGCAAACCATCTGCATCATCTCCTTTATAAACCTCTCTAACTGGTTCTTTAGGAGTCCTGGTGTGGCGCAGGTGGAGAAGCACTAGACTTTGGCAGTTCAAACTCACCAGTCACTCCTCGGAAACCTTATACAGGGTCGCAACAAGTCGGAACCGATTTGATGGCACTTAACAACGACAACTTTTTTTTTTTTTTAATGTGAAAGTGTTCTCTATTTCAAACCAACTGTTTCAAACCTGATAATATCATCTTCTGTCATCTGAAAAAGGAATGCATACAAGTAGAAAGTGGTACGCAAAAGTTTTGAGCCATGCTGAAAGTTTAGTTGTTTTCATTCGCTTTGTTATTTGAGCTTTTTCGATAAGATGAACAAAAACTTTGAAAAGATAATACATTTCACAATTAAGAGAACTCTTCAAAACCAGCAAAGAAATATAAATATTTCTAGAGAATCATCAAACATGCTGTTGTTGGTTTTGGAGCTATAGAGAGAGACAGCACTCTCATGTTCACCTTACTGTCTCCATCCCTTTGGTAGACTGTCTGCAAAGATGGTTGCCAACAGTTCCTCCCATTGCTGAACACAAGGTGGAAACAATTTCCTCTCCCCTGAAATCTGGGCTGGTCACGTGACTTGCTTTGGCAACTGAATGTGGTGCATGACTTCAGGCTTAGACCTCAAGCGTTCTGCTGCTTCTGATTTTGCCCTCTTGTGAGTCAGCTGCCATGTAAAGAAATCCAAATACCCTGCTAGAGAGATACTGGAAGATGAAAGACTGAATGAAGGATACACTCAGCCAACCCCCTGCTCAGGAGCCAGATACGTGAGTGAAGCTGTCTGGAATCCTCCAGCTCTGGTGGAGCCACTGCAGCCAAGATTAAGTGGAGCAAGACAAGTTGTCCATGCCAAACCCTGCTCAAATTACAGAAACAACTGATTCTTTACTAACTCTTCATCAGGGTTCTTTGTTCTCTGAGTCTGAGTGGTAAAAGTGGTTGTAAGTTTAGTCCATCCCGAGGCCAGGAAGAAAGGCTTGGTGACCCACTTCAGAAAATTCAGTCCCTGAAACCCTATGGATCACAGCTCTACTCTGACAGACATGGGGTCTACTCTGACAGACATGGGGTCCTGTGAGTTAGAATCTACTGAATGGCAACTGTGTTTTCTTTTTGTCTTCCTCTTCTATTACTGTGACTGTTCCCCACGATGTGTCTTACAGCTGCTTCCTCTTCTGCTCTTCTTCTCCTCAGAGGCATAATCAACTCCAAAACTTCAAACTTGGCCTCAGTGCTTATAATGGCCCCTTTCCCCTCTGAACCTCTTATCTCAAATATTCCTTCCTTGAAGTGTCTCCTTCTTGTCTCCCAAAGCCTGGCCCCACATTTCAACATGTCATAGTGGTTTCCTGTATTGCACTTCAAAATCAATGTACCATGAAAACAAAAGCAAAAAGAGTGGACCTATCATTCTTCTCCCCAGACCACTTACACTTCACGACCTACTTTTCTCTGAAAGTGGTACCTAACTTCTGGGGCCTGAAACTTAAGACTATTCTTTGGGTCTCACTTTTCTTTACTTCCTAATCGAATACCATGTCCTGCCAATTCTTCCTTCACAGTCTTTTTTAAATCAGCGTTTTTAAATAGGTAAGACATTTTCAACAAAACCCTGATGATGCAGTGGTTAAGCACTCAGCAGCCAACTGAAAGGGTGGTGGTTCTAATCCACCAACTGCTCCCTGGAAGAAAGCTGTGTTTTTTGTAAAGATTACAGCCTTGGGAACACAATGGGGCAGTTTTACTATGCATACATGGTGTTGCCATACGTTGGAATCAACTCAATGACAGCTAGCAACAAGAAGAGCATGTTCCAATATGTGTATGTACTAACTCCCTGTTGATAGCTTCTTAGGTTGTTTCCAGTCTCTGACTACAGCACACAATACTGCAAAGAAGACTCTTATCCACACGTCACTGAGACGTGTGCATTTAGAAAATATTCCCAGAAGTGAGGTTTCTAGTTTAAAGGATGAGTGTGTTTGCCCTTCAGAGATTCCTGAATCCTCACCTTCTCACCTAATCCCACTGTCCTAGCCTAGCTTGGGACCTAGATGGCTGAGACACGTCCTATTCTAGCTATTATTGCTACATTGGTCGCTATGGGTCGGAACCGACTCGATGGCACTTAACAACAACAACAACAATCTTTCCAAAACAACACTTGGTTTATTTTTTTTTCCTTCCCTGTCTACCAAATAAATGACAAATTCCTTAGTTTATATTTAAAACTTGCTATGGTCTGCGCATCTCCTGTGTTCCCTGTTCTCCGGGTTCATCTTGCCAGTCCTAGCCTTAGCCAGACAGCCTTCTTACAGTGTTTGGAACTTTCCTACCTCTTTGCCTTTGCCCACACTTTTCTCTTCATCAGAAATTCTGACCACCATTTCATTCTGTCCAAACCCTACTCATTTTTAAGGTCTTGTGTGCGAATGTCAGCTCCCACTTAAATCTGTCACATACCACCCAACTGCCACTCTACTTTCCCAATACACTTTATTTAAATCAATTATAGGGCATTTCTCTTATAATGTTTTACTTCTGTCTCCAGCTCTCTCACTGCTCCCACAGTAGGCTGTAAACTCATTGAGTGCAAAGACTGTGCCTTTTGTATCTTTTATTTCTCACAGCGCCTTTTCTAATATTTCACATGAAAATGCTTCTCACTAAATACTCACTGAGTGACTGGCTATTGGCAGAAAACAGCCTTTAGATTTGATCTCCATTCTCTGATGCTGGAAAAGGCTCAGAGAGAACTGAGGAAAGCAGGTTGGGCAACTGTAAAACATGCACATGTGCATTGAGGCATTAACCCACAGTGCCACACATAGACCATCAACAAAGAAGGCTGGCTCATAAAGTCTGCCCATTTTAGAGCAGATATAGAATTAATGACAAAAAAGAAACTAAGTGGAACTTAGCAAGCATTTCATTCCACTTGAACATGATGATTTTTCAAAGTCTTAGTAGTTTTACTCCATGGACC